TCTGGACTGGACTATTGCAATGGTTTATTATCAGGGTATCCAAATACTTCTTTAAAATGTCTTCAGTTGATCCAAAATGCTGCTGCCAGAGTCTTAACTGGAGTTAGTAGGAGAGATCATATCTCTCCAGTTTTAGTTTCCCTCCATTGGCTCCCTGTCAAATCCAGAATATAATTCAAAATCTTACTTCTAACCTACAAAGCTCTCAACAACCTAGCTCCATCTTATATTCCAGATCTTATTGTTCCATATTTTCCTAACAGAGCACTTCGCTCTCAGGCTGCAGGTTTACTTGTGGTTCCTAGAATTAAAAAAAAAAACAGAATGGGAGGCAGACCCTTCAGTTATCAGGCTCCTCTCTTTTGGAACCAACATCCAATCTCTGTCCGTGAGGCTGACACATTATCCAGTTCTATTTCATATAGGCTTCACCCTTTAAGGCTGTTGCTGATGGATTTTATCCCGTTATGCGAAGCATTACACTGAAAAGTTTAGTCCACGCCCACCTGCTGTGTGGACCCCACCCGGTCCGTATAAGTTACGTTAAGAGCGCGTAATCGGCTCCCAATTTTCTTCAGCAAGCTAATAGCACTGACCTTCTACAAGATGTCCAGCTCCAACACCATCCACTTGTGTCTGTCCTGCAAGACTGGCTACTTGCTCAGCTTTGACAGGCATGACACCTGCGAGGGATGCCTGGGTCCCTGCCACGTCGCCCGCGCTTCCTCCTGCCGCCTCTGCGACGACCTTCCTCCAGAGGAAAGGCAGAGGAGAGCAGCCTTGTTTAAGGTTAACGTCGAGGACTGCTTGTCCGTGGCGGGAGACTGTTCGCTGGACGATGCGATCGACTTCTTCGACGCCGGCTCTCCAGCGAATCGGATGGTTCCTCTGGGACAGGCGACATCAGCAGCAGCCTCGATGCTTGCTCCCTCCCAGAGAGCGTAGTGTTAGAACGAGGGAGGCCGAGCGGATGCTCGACCCCTCCAGGCTTTCCCGCCTCAACGGCCACATCGCTCCCTGCCGTCGGCGTCCTCCTCTCGAAGTTGCTCGACATTATCCGGGAAGCTGCTGACATGAAGGGACTTTCTGTTCTCTCCCCACCCCCCACCCAGATAGGATGATCTAGTGGGAAGGTTTGGCTCCATTCCGGCTCACCGTCCTGATCCCATCTGGCCTCGGTTTCCAGCAGTGACATCTTATTGGAACGAGGCCACGGCCAGTCCTGGTAAATTGAGAGTGCCCGTCTCCACGTTCGCTCCCATCACCAGAGTCGAGGGGTTCACCGAGCGGAACTTTCCCTCGGTACCCCCCCCCAGAGCCTAGCCTGGAGGAAGCTTTCGGAGCGAAGCTGTC